ACAACACTGCACTACAAAAATATAGCATATAATGCTAAAATATAGCATATAATGCTAAAAGATGGCTCGAGTTGCTGTCACACAGACAGGTTTTGTTTTTTAAACATCAGCTCTTGTATTAAATCATCAGAGAGAAACTACAAATGTTGAAGTAAATATTATTTTACATAGAAGAAGTTTTGGTTCATTTCTAGAGGAGAATACATGACAAAACAGTAACTGCCGGCATTTAAAAACCATGATTCATCCTTTACCTATTGCACTGTACTAATAGGCAGGTCTCTCCTCTCATCACTGGTTTTTAAAATTTTTGTCTATAATAAGTAGAATTTGAAATAGTTTTTAACATATGAGGCTATATATGTATATATATTTATCATGAATATTTTAATTATTAGAGAAATAGTAAATGGAATTTGCTAGGATTGTACTTTGAACAATGCTCCTTGTTGGTATATTACTTATTACTTTATCTTTTGAACACACTGGCATAACTTTGCTTTGGAAGTTACTCAACTTTTTAAACACACAAGACTGAAGAGCACATAAGGTCTGAATTCAACAAAATGAGATAAGAGTAAAGAGTTTACACATACACAGTTCTAAATAGTTCACTTGTGCCTTGGAGGGATAGTATTATTATCATTATTATTAGTAATAAAAAATGCAATTTGTCCCAGTAGTACTGGCCACCCTGTTTTAAGAGTTTTAGAAGATCCCTGAGCACATTGTTTCTGACTCTTAACCCCAACTCCAAAATGATAGGGCTTCTATCGTTGATATCAAGATGGATTGTCATTCACAGTAAGTCAATCATAAGGTGCTTATTTACCCTTTTTTTCACCAATCAGCACAAAGAACTGTCAGAAAATAACTTTTTATTATTATTACCTTAAAATAATAGCACTGGAAGGACACATGATTTAAACAATCAATGTTTGAAACAGTGGCTTTAGGATTATTATCTGGCTGCCCCTCAACAATAACAAGTGATTCGATCGACATTCCTTAGCCAAAAACAAAGGCAAAAAACAAAAAACAAAAAAACCCAAAAACAAAACTGTACAAATATGTATTTTTCCCTGAGGGATCAAGGTACCACCCGCGAGTGCTCTATGTACATATTGCACTAGAGAGGAATGGAGAACATGTGCAAAAAAGCAACAATGAAAGAAGCTTACGTACTACTTAAACCTTTTCATTAAAGAGTCTACTAGGTTGTTTTGCATTTTGGAATGTCGGAACACAACAGCTAGCTATTCCTTAATCTAAAACTAAAAACACACATGTCTACTATGGCACATTCAATGAAATAAAAAGTTTTCCAAAGACAGATAGACAAATTCCATCAAGAAAATAATACAAAGTTTGTTTGTTTGTATTTTTTTTTTTAGAAAATTACATTACTTTCTTTCTTTGTTTCACATTACAAAATCTTTTTTTTCTTTACACAAATCACATTTTATTGCAGGAATATTTCAAGTGCCATCAAATATTTATAGAAGGGTTAAAAAAATAGAAGTCTCTCTAAAGTGGTCCAGACAAGGCTTTGTATAGAATAAATCTTTTTTCCCCATCTTCTAGTTTTGATTTAAGTATTTTGAATACATTTTCTTTTCCATTGACACTTAGTAGCCTAGAAGCAGTCCGACGCACACACATCATACACATGCAAATCACACACACACACACACACACACACACACACGCGCACGCGCGCACGCGCGTTCCTTCTTCACCTGACCCTCAGCCCACCCCCATACGCTCACAGATATCTGGGTATCCACACTATAAAGAACAACCAAACTTAGAAGCAGTGTCTTAAGTCATGTTTTTCTTAAGTTAGAAAGGGTGAATTCAGATGCTGAAGACTTTACAAATCCATGCTTTAATACAAATTAAAATGCCGAACACTTTTAAAAAATCCATAGCTTTAACACAATTTCATCTGTACTTTTGTTTGCATTGTGACCAAGGCCAGTTTTTTCACAATATAATACAACCTTGTGGACACCATTGTAACAGAAGGTATTCAGGCTTTGTACAAAAGCCTATTTACCTTATATATATATATATATATATATATATTTAAAAATTGTAGAAAGGCATGGTAGCAGCCAGGTTGACAACAATGTGTTCTGATCCTTAAAAGGCTATTGGACATTTATGTTTAGGAAACTTTAATTACAAGAACTTAAGAGAGTGATTGTTCTGATGTCACCAAGCATTTTGTGTCATCACACAGGTGTTTTTATAAGGAAGAAAACTAAAATGCCAAGTTTTTCACATTCTTTTGTGAGCTCCATGCCTTTTTAACCAGATTTATTATTTAACTTCAGAGCCCAACTTAGACCCAAATACTAGTCAGTTGTTTCCTCATCTCGCCGGGCATGTCTGCTCTTCTGTTCCTACACTTTTGGTAGATGGACTTTGCGCTTAAAGTCCATGCCTGCTTTTCTTTCAGAAACACCTGGAAGCAGCATTATGTTACTCTATCTTGGTTTACCATAAAAGCAGTGTCACCATGGCATAACTATCACTGAGGTTAGAGCTTTTTTTTTTTCTCCCTGCATTAGGCACATACAAAATCCTTTCTGGGAAAAGGAATTTCTTTTAAGTTCAACATTATGTTCTCTCTCACCCTTAGAGAAGATCAATTAGCTCTTATCATTTCACAAATGGACACTGGAATTAGGTTTAGTTGCTCTTTACTGCGCTAGCACCTGAGGCTGGTCATATTCAGAAAGCTTTGGTTAAAAAGAAGTTAATACACTTTAATAAAACCATCCCCAAATTTAGTGAATCTAAATGACAAAAAACAAAACTAAAAAAACAATCCCCCAAAACAACAACACACCATTTCCCCCCAAAGGAGAAACAATAGAAAAAATAATGGACAAATAAATAACTGAGCTAAGCTTGGTACTCTTTTCAGAGTATAAATACTATTGACCTTTAAAGGAATTATGCTTACTTAAATTACAATTTTGATTTAACCCTTTTTGCCCAAACATAAATACTATATGCTGACAGTCAGTCTCTATATATAAACACATACAATTTTATATGCCTATAGGAAATTTAAAGGAATATTACTCTCATCTTCTATTTATGGTAAAACCCTTACTGTATTTTTGAAAAAACCCCAACAACAACCGATGTTATTTAGGCTTCATACACACGCCTGTGTGAATAATTCCTTCCCCTTTTCCAAGTCCCTCAGGAAACAAGTCAGAAGTTAAAAACAGAGTGAAAGTGCTCTGGGAAGCACACCCTGGTAACCCAGCAGGATACCAGGAACTACATACAGATCCCGTGGAAGCTTCTGCGTGGATCTGGGTGGCAGAGGAGATGCTCAAACAAAGGGTTACTTGGAAACCCCTACCTTTATACCCATGGAAGATGTTCCCTTTTCTGTTCAAACGTGGTCTTGGATGTCAGACCTGTAGTTAGAATCCCACCCCTTGTGTGACTAAAATCATCTTCTAAATGCCTACATTCCCAAAAGGTCACTTGTTTTTAAAATATGACACCTGTATATCAGACTCCTCTTTTCCCCTTTCCCCACTGGGGACTATTGAGAAAAAAAGAAAAAAAAAAGTAACAACACGACATTAAACAAAAACAACTCGGTATTTCTCACCTGAACACACAAGCCAAACAATCATCTAAATATTTAATAAAATAAATTACAGTCCACAGTTTTCTAGTGAAGATAAATATAGGAGTAAATGTTTGCAGCTAGTATCAACTTCACTCTAAAGGTTTAAAGTATTTAATATTTAAAGAGGAGAAACTGGTTCCACATTGTATGCCTCCCTCCCCCTCCTGTCCATCGCCTATCAACTATGGAGAGCAGTATTCTAGAATTATAACATCTACACACAACAAATCTATAATTAGTTCACTCTGAGATAAGCTCTTAGGGTTCCTGGATTATACCAAGAACATAAACATTCACAAAGTAAATGCTTCGTGTCCTCGCATGGGGAGTGTGCGTTTGCTCCAGATAGAATCTTTGGGTCCTTCTTATAATAAAAGCTAGACTTCCATAAGTATTCTGGTTACTGATTTGTTCTCAGGACATAAGAACCCCAAGTTCAGACTAAGTCCATAGAACTACTGACTTGTGTAAATTGAGCCTCCCCTCCCATCACCTCCATGAGGCGGCATTTTAAAAAGCTGTTTTTAAAAATTAAAATGTGCATGTCATAAGATCTCAGCGCCAATCAGTCATTCAACTTTGTATGAAGCATAAACACATCTGCCATTAAACTTACCAAAAAGCAAAGTATAATTTAGGGAGAGTGCCATTTCTAATTCCAAACTCACAAGTAAAAAAATAAAACAAAACAAAAAAACCCAACATGGTGATTTCTAGATATGACCAGCCAGTCCTTTAAAAGAAATTTTGTAAACAGCAGCATAAATACCTCCTGACGTTCCTTACAAGCCTTCTCAGTTAAACTTGTGTTTCTGGTGCACATGCGACACGACAGTGAACACGCTAGCATTTAATTTAAAGAAAAAGGTGCAAAATGAAAGTGCCTTATCAATTCAACAGGAAAAGCTACACCAGTAACTACATTTTATATTAATTAAAACAATATATAAACAATATCTCTTTTAGCTATATATAGTCTTCATGCCCATTTACCCTGTAATATATTATAATGCTATTGTTGCTACTGCTATGGACCCTTTTCATGCCATCCTGCTGACTGGCAATAATCGGTGAGAAAATAAAAGCTTCCTTCATGAAACAAAGAGCAAGTTGTGCAAAGTAATGTCGCAACCTCCGCTATGCACACTGGTCACCGATTATTGCTGTACTCGTGTTACCGACAGATTGGCGACTCTGTAGAAAGTCTGTGGGCAGTGAGCTACAAGAAAAGGAAATCCTCTGACTTTAGTACCCCCTTCTGTTGTAAACAGAGGTCAACGATCAAGAAGTCGAGACAGAAAAAGGGTCCATATCTGTAGGCATCATGGAAATCATATGCATGAGAAAAACAAGTTCAACTTTTATTTGTTTTCATTGTTTCCCCTCCTTTGCCTGACCCCATCACCAATAGATGTGCAGTGTGTCGCGCTCCAGGTCTGTGCAGGGCCATATAAAGTGTCTCGGTTAATTTTTGTTTGTTTGTTTTCCATGTTTGTACTTCAGACATTCTAGAAGTGCTCAGGTGATACGTTTACCCATCAATTTGCATTGCTGGCTCAAATTCTGAAGTGAACAACTCCTTGTATAACGGAGGAAAATGAAGTCGCACAATGTCTGGGTATATTGCTTTAAATGCCATTAGCTTTTCTGTATGTCGTCCACATAAGGCTCTTAATGTAGACACCTTGCATATCAACTGTAAGTGGAAGAAAGGACATGTCAGGAGAGAACAGGCATGTGCATCAAAGACCAGGGAATGGGGCGATCTTCACAACATTGATTACAATGGTGACACACACTTGAAGCAACTTAAACAACCAGTGATAGAAGACTGGTAAAGGTAAATGCTGACACGAATGCCAGAGATACATTCAATAGGATTTAGAAGATGAATCATTTAATAACCCGAAAAAGTGTTCTAAGCAAAAGTTGGCACACATGAAGAAGGACAAATATATGGACTTCACAGCAACTTGGATGGATTGAGAGTTGATCATACTCAGTGATCTATCACAGAAACAGAAAACAGAGTACCACATGTTCTCACTCATAAGCAGACCCTGAACAATTACCATCATACTTTAAGAAAGGGATTGGCAGTAGCAGGATACCACCAGGGTGCGGGGGTGGGGACACAATATCAATAAGGGTACCTGATCTCAAGCCAGGTGAAGTGGGGCCCAAAGGGAGGCCCAAACTTTACCTGTATGATGACCACTTGTATACCCAATCCTGAATTGTACCCTACATCTTTAAAATAAAAAATATTTAAAAAACCAAAAGTCAGCACAGCTTGTCAGCAACAGACTCAAGACAAGAACTTGGGGCTCTTAATGCCTCCTAATCCAACACACCTTTTCTAGCACCTGGAACCCTGCCCTCTCCCACCGAGGACAAGAAGCGGTCTGGTGATGGAGAGGTGGGCAAGGGACGGTCGTGGGTAGTGAGCACTGAGGCTAGAGGTGGACAAAATCCCCTCCACATTGTATGAGAACTAGCACCAGTCAATTCCAGGGACAATACAGGTCTTCTCAATGAGTTTTGCCCACAACGAAGAGATTCTGAGTCTGAGCAAAAGAACAGAGTCGGAAGGCAAGGATGGAAGTCCTAGTGCTGACTCTCTACCAGCTGAGGGTGAGAACACAATTTGCAAAAATGCTTACAGATTCTCAAGCACTATGCAGAGGTAAGTGTTTATTATTTTGACTCAGAATAATCCTCTCTAGGAAAGGGTTTTCACCACAACTTGCCCATGGGTTAAAGTGTTCTCCCTAAGAAAAAAACCTTTGGGCAAGAAGATGGAGAAAGAAGTCAGACTCCTGATGGGCCATCCCCCTTCCGTTTTTCATTCCTGTCCCATTTGCTCATTTAAAAGGTGCAAAATCAAAAACAAAATAGAGCCCCCAGTATTCCCTTTCTGACTTACTCTAACTACAAGCAAACAAACAGGAAAACAAAACCAAAAACTTCTCAAATCATCTCCTCATACAATAAAACACATAAAATAATTAAAAGTAAGGCTTTTTCCAAGCCCAATTACATACTACTTGCATTGGTATGAAGGATATTAGCATATTTTAAATGATATCCTAATTATATTTTTATTGTGAAAGATAATAATTAGCAATAATGAAACCTTATGCTTTGAATACAGGGTTGGAATGGAAATTGATAAAGAAAATACAAAAGTCATTTACTGTTAATACTAACAAATTTAATGGAACTAGAACTAATATGAGACTATATGGCTATCCAGATGAACTCTTTTAGTCCTTTATACCTTCCTCCTTGTAAACTAAAAATTTATTTTCTTAATTCTATCAATGCAGAACATTCACTCTGCTTTTATGCCCAACTTTGATGATGGAGAGGAGGATTTTGAGAATGTATTAATGCTCAAATTTTTTCCTACAATTGCCCTATTATTGTAAGACACTTTGTAATCAATTATAATACACAGAATTTAACTTGAATGATGAGTCCGGCCCAAGAGAATTTTTTGAAATGGAGAGTTCTTCCTTTTTCCTAACCAGCTGCTTACCGACACTGTTGTAAATTGGTCACATGATCTATAAGGGCAGCTGGCAGCTTGGATAACTCAGACCATGCCACTCACCTTTGTTAGTATTCCATCTTCTCGGTGATTCTTCTGCAGCACGTGTTGAAGAGCTAGCTGAATTTTCTGTTGCAGTTTTTCAATCTTTACCTTTTCCTGTAGCCATGAGCGATCTAAACATGAAAAACAGTATTCCTTAGTTTTCCTCCCACGTGTTCTGACATGGTGTCAGAGTACCCCATTCTTTCTGATTCCCAGATACAATTGATTCTACCACCATGCATATTTACAGACTCAGGCTATTTTCACTTCTCTTTCAAAATTTGCTCTTAAAGGAGTGGACAAGTGATCTACGATAGTTACAAGGCAGAGTGTTAAGCAGAGTGTTAAGTGAAAGCAGAGTGTTAAAAATGCTAATCATTTTTACTGATACTTAAAGGAAGAAAAGATCTTCTCTTCCCATAGGATAGCCATTTAGGTAGAAGGCCAGACTTGTACGAGTACCAGTGCACCCACCATGGCCCCTCAAGTCTTCCTAATAATTATACTTCTAAATAAAATATTCACCAACAACCCTGTCAGCCTTTTTGGAAAATATGAAAATTTCCTTACAATCCAGGGCAACCAAAATTGTCAATAGAATGCCGAATGACTTAAGGGTTGTTAATTTAGGATAAAGTCTTTATGCATAAGAATTCTGAATAGAAGATAGTAACTTTGCAGAAGTGATTATCCCCAAGGGGCCGTACTGTTTGAAAACACAGATTAAATTCAGATAAACTAGTGGATGACATCCAGATGAACTTTAGGAAAAAGCAGGATGTTTTAAAAATCACATTATCTTGGTGACTGGTGTTAAAAAAGGCAACTCTATTCCACCATGGCATTTCTCTCAGTGTCAGGTGGTTAATGCTGGACTGAGTATTATTCAATTCTCATTTATTTTTATTTATCTTTTTATTTTTTTGTAGAGACAGTGTCTCGCTATTTTGCGCAGGCTGGTCTTGAACTGTGGACCTCAAGCAGTCCTCCTGCCTCTGCCTCCCAAAGTGCTGGGATTACAGGTGTAAGCCATCACACTTGGCCCAATTCTCAGTTCTTAAGATTTTATCTGAAAGGCATGAAGTCTTTTTAAAAGAATATATGTATACGTGTGTGTGGCAGGGGAGAGGTATTTCTGAAAAACTTAAAATTAGACTTAATAAGAGTGGCATCCTTTCTTGGTAGCTCCCAAATATTTTATAGTTGTTAAAAGCTATACAACTTGTAAAAATTATTTATATTGGACAGTTTTAAACAGTTTTATTTTTATTTGGTTACCTTACCTGCTGACATCAGTACAAATGCAGAAAATAATGCAATTTCATCTTCAGTCAGGTGCATAGAACATAAACTCTTTCCAAATTCAAACACAAAGCTAATAAAGTCTTCACAACCTGCCAAAATTAAAATAAGGACAGTCTAAGATTTTAGTTATTATCCTAGGAGAAAATATGGGAGTAGATGAGGAAAACTAGCAACTGAAGATCAGAAAGAATAGTAATAACTTTTTTTTTTTTAATTTGGAGTCTCATTCTGTCATCCAGGCTGGAGTGCAGCAGCACACTCACGGCCACCCCAGTATTGACCTGCTGGGCTCAGGTGATCCTTCTGCCTCAGCCTTCCAAGTAGCCGGAACTACAGGTGTGTGTTACTGTGCTACTAAGTGTGTGCTACTGTGCTACTAAGTGTGTGCTACTGTGCTACTAAGCCCAGTTAATTTTTGATTTACTGTACAGACACTCACCTTAGCTTCTCAAAGTGCTGGGATTACAGGCTGAGCCACCAAGCCCGGCCAGTAATAACATTTCCACAGTTTAATAGTTTGAAATCTTAAGAGAAAAATCCATAAAACCACCACCACCACCACCATCTAAAAATCACCACCACCACCATCAACACTGTTATTCTCATTCAAAACAATGAGCGTGAACTTTTGTTGTGTGATTCTTTATCTTGGGCAATAATACAAGCATCACTGTCAATACAATGTCAAGTATTGTCCTAAGAGATGTCTTTGGGTATTCTCCTATTTCACAATAGCCCTATGAAAGAGGTATTATTGTTCTTATTATCATCATCATCCCCAGTTTAGAGGTGAGGAAACTGAGATTTGGAGAGAAAAAGAATATACCTGCAATTATATAGGTAGGAAGTCCAGTCTGAGGTTCAAAGCCAGCCTGCCTGACGTCAGAGCCTGAACATTTAACCAATAGAGTCTAACAGCTGTCACCTAACTGACATGTTGAATTCATTCATTTTTGTGTTCAAATGTATTGCAGCTAAAACAGTCTTTAAAATGTTAACAAGTCAGGCATGGTGGCTCAAGCTTGTAATCCCAGCACTTTGAGAGGCTGGGGTGAGAGGACTGCCTGAGCTCAGGGGTTTGAGGCCAGCCTGGGCAACTTGGTGAGACCTCGCCTCTACAATAAATCAAAAAATAAGCCGGGCACGGTAGCACCCGCCTGTAGTTCCAGCTACTTGGAAGGCTGAAGCAGAAGGATCACCTGAGCCCAGCAGGTTGAGGCTGTGGTGGCCATGAGCATGTCACTGCACTCCAGCCTGGGTGACAGAGTGAGACTCCAAATAAAAAAAAACCAAACAAAACACCTAATAAAAAATGTTAACAAATGACACATTCTGGTGGCAAAACTATTACAATGATTTACCAAACTGAAAACATGGGACGTGAAAGTCCCCTAAAATAATAATCCAATACCCCCAAAACTGGTTAAGTTTGGTGTGTATTCTTTCAGATTTGTATATCATACATATATATATATATATATATATAT